ATTGTTGGAGCCTATTCCTAGGGTACAACCTATAGGGCAGTTCCAACAGGTTTGATCTCTCGTGGAAACTAGGAATCAAGTTGGAAACTTGTGAACGACACCTACTCCAAATCTATGATCCAGATCTGATACCAAGACCCAATTCCATGTCATATTGGTGGGTCTTGTCACTACTTGCACTTAGCATGAAGAACCAAATATTACCAAAATAGGTAACAAACTTTGGTTTTTGTGCATATTTAGGTAATCATTTTTTATCCGTACACATTTGACTAGTAAACTTATTTGACATGTTCATAATAAGGTAATATCACAAGTAATTACTAATAATATTACCCTATTTTGATCACTTTAAAAAGTTTACTGGACAAACGTATATGAAAGAAACACGGTTACCTAAATATGGACAAAATCCAAAGTTCGTTACCCAATTAGGTCATTAACCATGTTAATTATGTCCTTACTAAAGGGGTTTAGCCCAAAAAAAAATGAGGTTGATATGATGCCTCTTAGCTCAGAAGATTGATGACTCAAGTTCCAACCATGACAATGATGCAGTTTAGTAGTAAATTAGAGAGTGTGCACATCACAATTCTAAGAAAACATAGCATGTTAAGTGATGTTACGTGTGATATATATGAGGCAATATCGTCTTATTGTATTTCTCATTTTTTTCAGTTAAATATCATCTTGATTATTATCATTAAAGGTTTTTTTAGAAGGATATAATTTTTTTTAAAAAAATTAGCAAGGACTTAGACAAAACAAATAATTACATCAAGGAATAGCCCTTTTAGGGTCTTGAAGCCAATTAAATCAATAAAATGTTGGCCCTCATATTCCTATTGTTAACTAAAAAAAAATGATTGCATAACAATTTTATCAATTAAATATGACTTTTCAGGTAGCTCTTACCAAACAAAAGAGAATTTCTAAACACCCTAATATGTCATAATATAGTATAAAGTATTTCTTTTATATGGTCTTTCAAAGTAATCTCCATGCAAAGAGAAGTGAACCAACATAACTAATCATCATAAAAAATAACCGTGGGTACAATTAACCCCCACTATCTCGCTACATGTGTCAAAAGTTCAGTAGCAACAAGTTATAAAATGAATAAGTGACTAGCTAATTCCTATCACCAACCATACATTAGTTAAAACATTAAAGAGATTTGCATACCTCTAATATCAAGATTAAACAATGTAGAGAGTTTATCCAAAGCCAAACGCCAAGATCAAATATCCATCTTCGTAGGAACGAGCCTGATCCAATGAGTAGTAACGAAATTCATGTTCAACACATGCTTATCAATAAAAGATCGCACGGACGCAAAATTGAAGTCACCTAAGCCCACCAAAGACCAAGACAACCGATCAATCCATTTCTAACCATCACCCCATGGAGTCCTATGAGAAGAATATAACCAACCACTTTGACTCATTTCAACATAATGGTGATATGTTTATCTAAATTTAGAACATATACTCTAGTAAATTGAATCTTTAAGGGAGCATCACCCAACCACATGTCTTCCCACAAAGAGGTTGTAGAACCATCTTGAATTATCTTCTCACACTTGGAGAAAAAGAGGAACACCCTTGTGATGTAATAAATCACAACCTTAAGAATGTCTAGCCAAGTAAAATTTCAATAATTACTAAGAAAAATGAAATTAATGAAGTTGGGGTCACCATGGATGGTTTTCACCACCTTAAACCAATGAGCATTGAGGGTTAGTGTGAAAACACCAAACCTATTTAAACAAGAGATCTCTATTAAGAGAGAATAAACTTCTAAGAACAACACCCCATACTACTTCTATGTCATCACCTTTTTCTAACTAAATTATGCCAATTTTTCTTCCAAATTAGCCTCTAAAAGAAAATATTTTGCAAAGACTCAAGTTGAGCTAAAATACCCACCAGAGCCTTATATAAGGACATAAAATATATAAGAAGCGATCCAAGAATCGACTTCAATTAGGTCAATCCACCGCCAACAAAATAAAAGTTTTCACATAGAATTAGAAAGTTCAGTTACCACATTTTAACAACTTCTCTCCCAGCAACCAATCTAGACATACCCTCAAGCACCAAATTTGGTATTCCAATGTCCAACAATTTGCTTTTCGGGAGATTTATTTTAAACCCAACGCAAGATAAAAACTTAAAAATATTCGAATGATGTTAGTATTGTTTGAATCTTATCATTTGCTAATAAAATTGTATCATTAACATAGAATAAATGAGATATATGAACACACGTGTCTAAACCAATAGATATTCATCTAAATATATTCTACTCCAAATCCCTCTAAAAAGCGACAAGCACACTCTCCATCACCATAATTAATAAGAAAAGGAATAGCGGGTCCCTATGATGAAGACATATTTGAAACTAAAATTTGGTTATAGGAGTACCACTTAATAAAACCGAACCTATGTAAGATTGAAGACAAACTTTAATTCACATCCTTCACTTTGTGCGAAACACCAATCTACCAAGTATGTATTCAAGACAGTCCCACCACACGGAGTCGTATCCCTTCTTAAATCCATCTTAGACACCATAACATCGTATTCCTTCTTAGCATTGCACAAAAAACACCACCTCATTCAAGATCAAAGGAGTATCCACGATTTGACTACTGTTAGATGCATTTTATATGCATCTTTTAGAACAATTTCCTACGTATTTCATTATAAAAAGCTAACTAATTCCCGATTATTGTTATGTATTTCGTGCTTCATGATTATTTTGAAGAATGTCCATACTGCTCACGTTTGTTATGACTTTTCAGGGCCATTTGGAGCACATGGATGATTGCGCAAGTTCGGGATGCGTTTGTGGATGCTTTGGAGCTTAATTGGAGTCTAGACCAAGGAAGGATGTCGGGAAATGATCAAGAACTGCTTGGAAGGAGGAAAGACGATCAAAAGAGCCAAAAAAAGTAACATGCGATCGCACCTTGTCTCCTTGCGATCGCAGGTTTGCCTTTGCAATCGCAGGTTGGGTCGCAGGTTGCCTTCGAGGTTTTGTCAAGCCAAAAAAATTCATCAGCTGAGGAAAAAAAGAAACAGGCGATCGCAGGTTGTGTCCTTGCGATCGCATGTTGCTCAATTTGCGTCGAAATGGCAACGTACTTCATTAAAATATCCCGTGACACGTTTTGGGTGATACATGCGATCGCAGGTATGCCCTTTGCGATCACAGGTACGGCATTTTGACAGCTAGACGTATAAATACAGCCTGATACTCTTCCAGTAACCCTAATTGGTGTTTCCTGACGATTCAAAGGCGATTTTCAGAGGTTTTCAAGTGAAGAACACAGATCTAAAGGAGACTATTCGATTTCTACTCGTAGTTTAGTAAGATTTATCGTTTAGATTCTATTTCCACTGTTTGTAATCCGTTTTTAGCCATGTCAGGCTAAAAAACTCAGATTTCAGTTTTGCAAGACGTAACCTTTTTATATGATTAATCATTAGGCACTATGTTTGACTATGATTACTGTTTAGTTTGATCAATTCTATGTTAAATTGAGTGTTTGATTTTGATTTCAATTTCTGTTGGCCACTTTAATTGTTTGTGAATCATTCTAGTCATCTAATTGTTTAGATCCGTAATTGTCTAGATTAATTAGTAAAAAGTGACAAGTATTATATTATTTCTGAGTTTAGGGTTAACTCTAATATGAAATGATCAAACAAGTTTTAACGCCTCCGAGCTTATGAGAGGTATTGAACTTTATTGGGAATTACAATGTGTCTAATGCAACTTTTCTATGTTAATCAAGAGCTTGTTTGATTAATTTAGTAAAAAGTTAGGTTTAATTCAAAGAACTTATTTAGATTAAATGATTTTTGTAACAAAGGTCATTAGAGCTTGTTAATGAACTTTAGTACCAGTTTAAACAAGTGCATAGTCAAATATTGTGTTGAAGGTTAATTATATGATTAGGGGAGTCACCGCGAAACTGGAACTGCTTTCTCTTATTTGAATTTTCATCACTTTAAATTTAGTCATTTTCTTGTCATTTTCAATTTCTGTTAGTTTAATTTTCAGAAATAAACCCCCCCCCCACTTTTTATGTTTATTGCATTCATCAAGAATCAGTTCACACCTTACGAAAGAGGTGTAAACATTAGGACGTGTCCCTGAGGATTCGACCCTACTTACCTCTACTACCTGTTAGTGCAATAAAGCAGTTTATATTATATTTTTATTTGTTTAAATCGTGTACGACAGCGATCTTAACAACTACCACTACAAGAAAAATGAGATTTTGCTAGGGAAGGGCACTATGGAACGTATTTCCGTTGTTAATCTGCAATGGATCATGCTATGGAATGTCGTTTCATAGCAAGGTTGCTACCACATTGTCTACGAAATTTATTTCCGGTAGCTATGGAAAATGCTACCAACTCAATATCCGTTGGTATTATGCTACCGATATTTCTATGGAAAAAGCATTCGTAGCAATTTTCCAACGAAAGTTTTTACGAAAACACTTGCCGTTGTACTGCTTATATGGAATTAATTATCGTGGTTAATATGCAACAAAAATTTTCAATGGAAAAAAATTTCATAGTTGCTTTGCTATGGAAGTACCATTCATAGGTATTTCCTAGGGAATTATGCTATGGAATTTGATTTCCTTTTCTTGTTTTGCTATGGAAAAAAAGCCTAGCTAATTTGTGACAACATTTTTTACGAAATTAAATTCCATATTCACGTTGATAATGAGTAGTTCAAATTCATAGATATTTAGCCATGGAAATTTGCAACGACAATAAAACTCGTGGAATTTTTAGTATTGAGCAATAACATGTTGCAACATTTGTTACCAATTTTGCAAGGAATTAATTTTTTGTAAAGTAATTTATATTAATTATAGTGCCATATTATGGAATTTATTTGCATAAATAAAGCATCCAATCCAACTCCCATATTCGCAAACCTACAAGCGGAAGAAGATAAATTAGCGAAAATCGATGTTGTCGTCTTCAAGCAGTAACGCGTGGCTGTGCGGATGTGGACGTCCGGTTAGAATGTGGATGACATGGACGCTAAAGAATCCTGGAAGGAGGTTCCTTGGTTGCACAAACTACAATGATGAATACATAAATTGTGGTTTTTTTTGTTGGATTGACCCACAACTGCCGAACAAGTGGTATAGAGAGAAGATATACGAGTTGAGAGCTCAAGGCAATCGTAAAGATGTCATTTTAGATGCCTCCCCTCCCCCCCCCCCCCCCCCCCCCGACGCTCCTGTCAATTTTCATGTCAATGAAACCCCGAATCAAGTTGTTATTCAAGATACCAATGAACATGGTAATGGCCTTTGAGTTGAAGGTGGTAAAGTTGGAATTATCAAGTTCATGATGGTGTGTTTGGTTTGTTTCTTTGTTGGGATGTTGTATGCTTAGTTAATTTTCTTATTTTTATTATGATCAATGGAGGAATTGTTATTATGATCAATGGAGTTGGTAAGCTATTGTTTGAATGATATGTTTTTGAATTGGTAATATATTTTGTTTGTTTTATTGCATTTTATATTTCTTTAATAGTACATGAAAGAATAAGCATTTGTTATTATGTTTATCTTATCTTAAATAATTTTGTACTATTTCCATGAAAAGAAACTGGATTATAACATAAATGATTACTTAATTGGGTATTTCATTTTATTTAATTCTCATGAAGGGCACTAATACACAACATCACATTTACCAATTCACATACAAAAACTAAAATTTAGACAATGTAACCATCCTTATAAAAAGAAACAAAAACATTTAGTCAAGATCTTCTCCCTCCTTTTCTTCTTCCTCCTCTTGTTCTTCATTGATCGATGTACTATACTCATAACTACCCTCGTTTCAAGAATACCATCATTGTCGTCCTCATGAATTTCACCTTCTTCATCAATGTTATTTTCATTATCTGAACCGCTGCTTGACATGTCGTGATCATCATAATTGTATGTATCGGATGTCGTTGGTAAAATGATTTCATTTGATTCAACTTCATCTTCTTTGAAAGCAACGTCTTTCTGAGGATGATTTTCACATACATCAGTCCAACCACGAGGTTTAACTTTAAATACAGCCCACTAGTCGGAGTTGTTTGTTTTCAAACTTGGGTAAGGAATGTAACACACCTGAGTGGCTTGCATGGCTAAAACAAACAGCTCGAACTTGTTGTATTTTCTTTTGACGTTTATCTCGACCAAGTTATATTGTTTGTGAACCTTAACTCCTATGTTAGGTGTTGGATCGTACCAATGATATTTAAACAAAACTGTGGTTTTAATTGGGTAACCAAGGTACTCGACTTCTAAAATTTCCTCTACCCTACCATAATAATCACCTCCTTGGCTACTAACACACAATCCGGTATTGATTGTTGATTTGTTTAGACCATGAGCTTCTATGTGAAACTTGTAACTATTGACAAAGTATACACTGTATAATTTCACACTCCTGAATGACATTTTGGAAAGGTCAAATATATACTTGTTCTTTATCCGGATCTTACGTGCCAATATTTCAAATGGTAAAGAACTTAATTAGAGTTAATTATAACCATAACAAAAAATAATAAAAATATAAAATATAAAATTAACACCCACATAGTTTTGAAACCATACTGCAAAGTTCTTCTCAGCTTCGGCTGCAAGCTCTTGTTCATCCATATCCCCAATAAGTTTATTCAAATCTTCTTCAAATATTATGTTTTACCATTTAATTACCTAATGTAATGTTTGATCTTATCTTTGTTAAGGAGTATGTAAGTTTGGGCAGCATGCAATTCCTCATTAGACAACATTTATTCCTGAATCTTCCATAATGACGACCAGGATATGAAAATATATCTAAAATTTCGTTGTTATCATCAGGTTACTCATCTCCTCCTCCATCATCATTTTGAGGCAACTTTATATTACGTGTGGGGACACCAGTCTCGAAATAATGAGAGCAAAATATTGATGCTTCACGAAGCAAGTACACGTTAACAACGGACCCTTCCACTTGAGCTTTAATTTTCACATCTTTTTCAACTGATTTAGATCTCTATAGTAAAGAAGATTTAAATTAGCTTAAAAAAATAGCAACATACATTTTGATGTAACATACAAACCTTTCAAATGGATACATCCACCGATATTGGAGGGGACCGACAATCTTCGCTTCGTATGGCAAATGTACTGGTAAATGTTCCATAGAGTTAAACATACCAGGGACAAAGATTGTCTCTAATTACATAGAATTATTAGGATCTCGGCTTTAATCATTTCCATGTCTTTTGTTGTGATTGATGTTGCTGTTCATGTTTTGAAGAAAAGACTCAAATCTCTTAATGCGTCCCACATATATTTTGGCAACATCTGAAAAAATGCAATTGGCATCAATCTTTGCATAAAAACATGACAATCGTGGCTTTTCATTTCGAACAGTCTACACTCGGTTAAATCAAAATACCTCCCCAAAGTAGAAACATAACCATCGGGGAAATGCAATTTCTCAACCCATTCGCATATGAATTTCTTTTGATTCTTGTCTTGAGCATAGTACGCTCTCTGATCATCTTCGAATCCTTTTCTCTTCCTACAATAGAGTTTCAGATCTCTTCTCGCTGCTACATTGCCATTCCTCTTCGCTTTGACATCCATTACAGTGTAAGAAAAGTTCTCAAATACATTTTCACAATATGCATAACATCAAAATTATGTCTAATGAGGTTTGTTTTCTAATATGGTAAATTCCAAAATTTGTTTTTCTTTTTTCAACCATGATCGCCACATGCTTTGTTTACATCATCAGCATTTAGTTCAGTCACTTTTACCAAACCTAATTGTTAAATTTCCCTTAAAGTTTGTTCACCATTCTTACTTGGAGGAGGACCTTCTGTCACTTCAAGATTCCTTTTGAACTTATTTTTACCTTTTCTATATGGGCGATTTACCTGTAGAAATCTTATATGGCAGTAACACCTGAAAGATCTTGTATGCCCAAGATTCATTATATAATGATATTGCTAATAATATATGATCCTATAGGGTCACACCATATAGCAAGTTACTGTCAATTGATTATTTATTAGTAAAATTTGATTATTAATAAATACATCAACACTTGTATTTAATTGAAAAAATTATTATTTCATGGAAATTATATTTTACTAATTGGGAATTTATTATTTGTGGAAATAATATCTATTGGAGAAATAACAAATTATGAAATATATCATAAAGTATGATTATTTATAAGTTTTATATTTATATATCTTAATAAACTAGTTCAAATTATATAAAAGGTAACTTTATATAAAATAAGATATTTATATATTCATATTTATATCTTAATAAGCTAGTTACAATTTATATAAAAGATAGTTTTATATAAAATAAGATATTTATATATGACTAGTTATATATATATGTTAGGAATTCTTTATAAAAATGATTGATTTTTATAAAGATAACATGTATGTGTATAAAAACTAGCCATGAGACAACTTTTGTCTTCTTTTGGACATGCCTTTTTTGAAAAATGGGAGGAGACAAGGCATGCATGCCTTTTCTATTCTTTTGCCATGCTTGGGACAAATTTGTCTCTCCTTTTGCTTTATGGTATCCCTTTGCTTTTTGGGCATTAAATCAGGGAGGGCATGGAAGGGTTTTGGGATAGACTTCTTTCAAGTCTTCTTCTTCCTATTCTTAGAGCCAAATCCAAGAGCTCCATGCTCTGTAGAGGATTGCCAAATTTTAGAGATTTGAAGGCTCTTGTCCTCCTCTATTCTCTTGCAATTTGATGCTAGACAATGTCCCTTTGTTGCTTAACCTTTGAACATATATTTGGTATATATTTCAAAGGCTTATGAACAACAAATCACAAGTGAATACTAGCATGTTTTGATGGTGCTACTCTTGCTTGGTGAATACTTGTATAGAACTTTTTTGTTTTAGAGTTTCATTCCACACTTCATCAACTTCCAACCTCCCATGAGGATCAAAGTCTTCAAAGGTTATTATGCTTTCCCTTCTATGGTTGTTTTAATCTTTCTAACTCTTGCAAAATGATCATTGGTGGGTAAAATAGTTTTAGTTTTATTCAACATTTTTAAAGCATCCGTTGTCATTTTTACCGGTTGAGAAACCAGATTTTTGAATAAAAACCCAACAATTGGTATCAGAGCGATTTTTTCAAGATTAGTTAGATTATTTCTTTAGTTGATGAAATCTTTGTTTTTGGAAAACATAGATGGTTTTCTCTTTGCAAGAAAAATCGATACATATTTTCTATGACAACTTTAAAATGTTTATAATTGTTATTTTTTGACCAAAAGTTTACATGCATCTTTTTGGTCATAAAAGTTGTCTTAGAAAAACAAAGAGTTTTTTTTATATATATTTTTGAGTATATAAATATGTATGATGTGCGTAAACTAGTCATTGACCTTTGTGTTGTTGCATGTGTTAATTGATTTAAAATGGTTCTAATTATTTAGTTATTCATATGGTATGTAATAATTAAATAGATAGTTTTCTTTTGTTAATTTTTGTAAGTAATAGATTAGTTTTAAAAATAGTTTATTTTTATAAAAATGTAACAAGAATGAAGATGGTGTCCATTTTGAAGATCAAAAGATTATAAAGTTGATTTTATTAAAGTTTCTCAAACTTTATAAAATTATTTTTATAAACTTGCTAGAAGGTGTTGAAGCAAGTTGGAGCATATGAAGACTTTACAATATAAAGGTGCCTTATGTCCCTTTAGGAATGGACTTGATAATTTTGTGATGGCTCACAAAATTATTACTAGTTAAAGGCTTGGTTTATGCACATATGTTATAATTGTTATGCATGCTTGTGTTATTTTATGTTTACGTTATTATTATTATGTTATGGTTGATAAATTAGTTTTTCAAATACAAAATAATATTTGAACATAAATAAACATCACAAGGAGTTTGATTTTAATGAAATTTACCTTTTAACAAAAGATGCTAAAAATAGTTTTACAATAAAACAAGCTTTATCGTTAAAACTAGTAACCGGTAAAATTTCGGGACTAAAATAGTATAAGTTTAAAATTGAGATTTGTAAACTTATCAAAATCCAAACCTTATTTTATAAAAGAAAGTTTTATTAAAAGGTTTACAAATGTTCTAAAGTGCTCAAGCATCAACTTAATACTAGCTATTAAAATTTGATCGTGTCAATTTTATAAAACCGGGTTTTATAAAATGAACATTGTTAAAATGTGATTTTTTCATAAAAATAAGATTTTTTAAAAGGTATACAATATTTTATTGAATGCATGCAATAACCATGATATAACAT